GTCAGCAGCCCGCCAAGTGACACACACATTCCATGAGTCCTTAGTCTCTGTCTGTAATTGCCTGTCAGATAGATAGACGAACACCACGACAACGGCACTAGCGAGACGTATGTCCACGACCGACAGAGAGTCATACAACAGACCAACAGTGAAGACAGACAAAAGAGTAAAGAGCCGCCGGTTGATAGGAGGGCGACATGGGACAGGAGAGCACTGACGGCCACTGAGGAGACGGACGGAAAGACACGACATGTTGCAGAAAGGCAGCCTGACTAATACAGAGTACCCGTCCGCACGCTCTTCGCGTCCCCATCGCCACAATCAATGAATGACATCTCTTCTGCATGTACGACAGCTACAACGACAGGCACTTCATAGCTGAACGACCCGAATCCGTCTCCTTACCACGGTAGCGATAGCTTGGTCGGCAGTGTCACAGGCCATTGGAAGGGGTGCCGAGGGCGCCAGTCGTTATCTGTCGGTCTGCACTGCACCGCACAGTGTCAAGTGAAGCAGTACTGTCCTTCTGAAAAAGTCATGGAAGGCAGACACTTTCCACCTTATTTCCACCTATCTGCCGGCTTGAGTCCATCAGTGCCCAAGATCACCTTCCGCCCCGCCGCATTCCGCTGGTACATGAATGCGTGCAGACACGCAGCATATGGTTATCAGCCTGGTCTGCACACACAGTCACACACGCACACCGCATCCCACACCATCACATGATGATACAGCCGGTGGTCTCTCAATTCACATAGTATCCACATCCGAATGCGTACCAGTATCATCCCCCGCTGTGCCTCTTGGAGCTCTACGACGCTCTGATTGGCCCGCAGCACCTCCGCCACCGACCAATTGCCACCGACGTGAACGTGCCGTCCGTCCCTTCGCTCTGTCATCTTGGACCTCATTTGGCATTCACACACACATCACCGAATGTTCCATCCTGGCGGCATGCTCATCCGTCCGGCGCTCACCTTCGCACCGTCCTGCGCCAGGATGTGAATGCGTGCAGACACGCACCGTCATCTTGAGCCTTCACCAGAGCTTCGCCCGGAAAGTTTCGCCCACCCTCACGAGCTTTTCATTGCGACGCTCCCAACTTTCACCTTCCGACCTCACCCCCCTCGCAGCCTGACCGAGTGGGTGCACTCACACAAGCTTGTCTTGTGTCCTAAAGTACGCTAACTCAGAGACCAACCATCGGCCATCCATTCTTCAGTCGAGAGTATAGGATGAGTGAGTTTGAGGGCGGCGGCTTCGAGCAGGGCGAGGAATCCTCGGGCGACTTTGACTACGGCGAGTCGGGCGCCTTCGAGGGCGGCACCGACCTGGCGGGCGGCAGCGACGCCAAGGAGTGGCACAGGAGCCGCGAGGCGGTGCTGTTCGCCGTCGACTGCAGCGAGGCCATGTTTGACAAGAAGGACACGCCGGTGGAGGTCAGCGAGGGGCCCATCAAGACGCTGCGCAACGAAAAGAGAACCGTCTTCGAAGTGAGGCGGCTGGGCAGACAGATCTGATCTCACACACAGAGGGGGCAGACACACGAGCAGCGGGCCACTTGGTGTGGTGTGGTGTGTGATGCATCAGGACGTGTTGAAGACGGTGTGTGAGTTCATGAAGACGCGCATCATCCGCGGCAGCCGCGACAAGGTGGGCGTCATGCTGTACAACATCGGAGCCAAATGCGTGTTAGAACTGGGCGACGGCTTCAACGGTACGCACACCACCACCACCAGCACCCAAACCACCACCACCACCACACTCTCTCTCTCTGTGCTGGCAACTTCAGGCATTCACGTGTTGAAGGCCGACGGCCAGGCTGGCGAGCTGCAGGTGCCCGACGCCGAGCGCGTGGCGGCCATCGAGAAGGTGGGCGACTGGACGCTCGACAAGATCCACAGCGAGTTCAAGGAGTGCGACCCGAAGGCCAAGCTGGGCGAGGTGTTCTGGCTGGCCAGCACCCTGTTCAGCCGCACCGACATCAAGAAGACCCACAACTGCCGCCTGCTCGTCTTCACCACCGAGGACGACCCCGTGGGGCGGCACAAGGCGGCATTCGATTTTGCAGTCCAACGGTGGGCGAGAGGGGGGGAGGGAGGGAGGGAGGGGGCTGTGTGTGCACTCGTGTGGTTTGTGTGCGTGCAGTGCCCAGGACTTGCAGGCAGAGGCCGACCTGGAACTCTTCCCCATGCAGCCAGATGGTACACACACACACACACACACATCCACACACATGTGTGCAGCCAGACATCCACCGCCCTTCTCACACTGACCACCCGTGTGTATGCGCCCTTCTGTGTGTGTGTGTGTGTCAGGCCGCGAGCCGTTCAACTTTGACACGTTTTGGAGCGACGTGCTGCAGGTGGGCGAGGAGGACCACCCCGAGCTCACCGCAGCCCTCAAGCTTGGCGACCTCAAACAGCGCATCTGGTCAGCCAGTCGGCAGACCGACACACTTACACACACATGGCCCAGCCATTGTGTGTGTGGTGTGTGTTGTGCAGGAGTCGTGAGTTCAAGCAGCGGACGTTGAACAGCCTGACGTTCGAGATCGCAGAAGGCGTAGAAGTAGCGGGTCGGCACACACCACACCAACACACGCAACACACACATGCTCTTTGTGTCTGTCATGATCTCTGTCTGTGTGGTCATGTGTGTGTCAGTGTGCATGTTCACTGAGGTGCTCCCCCAGCGGCCGCCGACGGCCATCAAGATCTGCACCGACGACAACACAGAACTCAAACCCAAAAGAGTCATGTGCGGCC